TGCTCGTCGTATTGCTCCACCTCAGCTTGACTTCTTGGGATATAACCTTCCGTTGATAAAGGAATTTTAGTACGACGATGATTCTCTTCACGATCATTATCTTTGTCAATAGCTTCAGCTCCAAGTCTTTCATCAAACAAGACATCTCTACTCATCACTTTCTTCTTGTTTTTCGGATCCCATAGCTTGTAGACTTTCACTCTCTTCTCAAAACCAAGGAAAATGTACTCGAGTGACTTTGGCTTCAGCTTGTTCCGTTTGTCACTTGGAATATGAACATACGCCTTGCATCCAAAAACCTTCAGAGTAGAATAGTCAACTTCTTTGTCCGACCATACTTTTTCGGCGCATTTGAAGTTTAGCAGCTTAAACGGTGACCGATTAACCAAGTAGGCAACATGATTAATGAATTCAGCCCAAAAAGACTCGGGCAATCCTGCATGAAGTCTCATGCATCTTTTTTTCTCCATGAGAGTCCGGTTTATCCTTTCCACCGCACCATTCTGCTGTGGAGTTTTCTTCACGGTAAAGTGTCGCGTAACGCTTTCTTGCTTGCAAAACGCTAGGAACCTCTCATCACGATATTTGTACTGCTGCGTCTCATTGTGCAGCTGTGGTGGGTGTCGGCATGACTTTTGGATATTATCATATCATGTTTGGTTCTCTTGTGAGCTTTCGGCGGTGTCCAGTGTCTTTTGAGACTTGCTTGCAAAGACCGGTCAGATTCTTTAACCGCATGTAAGTTTATGTATTCGGCCATTTAATTTTTCGCAATGAATAGTCATACCTTCATGGAACAGGTTGACAAAAAATAACGAGGCACTTCTTATACCTATGAGATTTTGTCGTGGTCTTGGGGGCCCGGTCTTCATACTTATATCAGAGGTAAATAGTGAGTTGAGAATTCGCCTTTTGCTGACGATTGCTCGTCTTTGTTGTGTAAGACTTGGAGTGAGACCTTTGGGTATTATGCTTTCGCAAAGCTAGCGCAATAAGGCTTGCAGAAATTCCCAAACTTGTAAGTGCTTCGGCCATGTAGCGCCCCCGCCCCCGCCCGCCCGCCCCTCCCGCGCTCTTCTGCTCCGCCCGGCCGCCCTGCCCCCGCCACCCGCCCCCCGGCGCGCGCTCCGTCCCTCCGCCCCCCCCGCGCTCCCCCCCGCCGCCCCGCGTCTTACAACAGTTGGTGCTTCCTCTGTGTGGGGCGAGGCTACTGCATAGCCCGGCTTCACTGGCATATGGCGGCAATGTTTACGAAGGATATCATAGATAGAAGTCGTGAGTCTGTCGCCGAGATTTAGGCCGAATTGCTTGGTTAGTTCGGCTTTTTGGGAAGTGGGTGTTGGAGTGGAGGGACAGAGCTGTTCGCGCCTGGGAGATCGAGGTAGTGCCTCCTTAGAATAGCTTGTACAAAGTTGTATGGTTAAGCGTGTCTCTGCTCTGCGCATGATCACCATACGAAGTTCCTTAGCAAAATCTTGATCTTTTGCCTCCACCTGAGGATTAGGTGAGGGACCGCGTTGGCATCTAGAGTGCGCTAAAGAAATTAGGTTGCTTCTTGAGTGTAGGAACATGTCGTATACGTTGTCGGAAAGTGCGAACGATGCCATGGCATACATCTTAGCCTTTCACTGTGGGCCAATGCAATGACGCTTGCACGGTGACAGTTGTTGCCCGCATAGAGGGGGATCTTTTCACTGCTGCCATGCTTTCTTTTCTATGATGTATCGCAAGGGCAAATACGCGAGCTGTTTGGGCAAACATATGGGAAAGGAGGGCAACCTGAGAGGTCATTGAATGCCAAGAATTGGAGAGGGAATGGTTTTTACATTCGGGCGATGCGAGGTGTAGAAACTAAAGAACTCGACACATGTTAGCGCCGTGGCAAACTGCCAGGCGCATTAGAGGTGGTTTCGGAGAGGATTTGTCTTGTGCGCAGTTGCTTTTACTGATATGGGCCTGTGAACTTATTCTGGGGGGCAGATTCTTTTTGAAGTGGCATGGATTTGTCCTGTATGGCAATAGTAACACTTCCCTTGATCACTGTGTGGCTGCTTGATTTATGATCAGCGCCGCTGGGTTAGTGTTCCGATACTTGGCAGCGCTTCTCGCTTGGAGTGGCGTAGGTTCATGCGGATCGTTCAAGGTCTCGGGCTTGACCGAGTAGGTTGGCCTTTAATTTTGTCAAGTGCAGCTGCCCATGCTCTGTTCGATGGTTGGTTGACATGATTAGATTGATGTGCTTTGAACAACGGGGCTCGATTCAAAACCGAAGAGTTCCTTGCCAAACATGAGTATGATGCCGAAAATGTTTTAATATGTTACGAGCGGGCAAGGGATCATAGCAAAAGCAAAAGATATTATGCCAGCCTCTGCTTTGCAACGTGCTTTAGCCTCCAGTTTCGCGACAACTGCGCGTTATACGGCAACAGTTTAAGAATCATTAAGATGGCTGGCGCATTAATAGGTTCATCTCCTATCGGTTTCGTAATCCATGACGGAAGATGTAAACAATTTCATAGTTGCTTATTTAAGAAAAGCTTTGTTAGATGAGAGTTTTTTTCCCATGTAGTAGATCTATCTACTCTTCAATGTGCCTCGACTTGGCGATAGGTCCTCGGCTCCATCACGTTGTAGGTTAGCTTTGTCAGTATAAGGTTGCTATACATCAATTGGAGAAAGCTCTGGATCGGCCGTTGAGGTCTGGGCCTTGTTGCGACAAGGCCTGCGCAGGATAGACATCGGTTCGTGCCGGCTTGTGGGCTCAGCCGGTTCCGGCATAGGATACATAGCATATGTATTGATCTTGCTGAATTATTATTGATTTATTCTTCAATCTTACGATCTGCCTTATAGTGTGGTGTGTGATTGAATTTGGCTTGCGGCTCCATTCGAATAACTTTGCAACTCAAACTTTAGCAAAAGCACGCTGGTTATTGACTTGTCCTTCAGGGGCCATTAAGAACACCACAACCTCGCTCTGATATCACTTGTTGGTGTTGACGAACCGCGAAACTTCTCAACACCACTTCAGGTTCTTATTCTTAATGACAAAAGGATAAAAGATAATCACATAAAAAATGGACACAAGGATTTACGTGGGAAACCCAAACGAGAAAAACCACGGGTTGAGCTCAGAGCTCAGAGGATACTTCACTATATGGAATCAACAAATGGGTACAAGGCACACACGACACACCCGACAATGCCGACTTCCACACAACCCTCACTCACGCTCTTTGTCTATTAACTCAACGCTCGAGATCTCTACAACACAAGAGACTCTCCTTCACTCTAACTCTCTATACTTTCAAGAGAACAAGTGGAAAACTTAGATTACCATTGCATTGCCCTTTTTTACCTCTCCACAATGAGAGCATGCCTTTTATAGGCCTTGATTAACATTTTCATCTTCTAAAATGCTTGAGAATACACAAATCTGTCCAGATTCGGGTAGGGTACTTTGACTGACCATAACTCCATCCATACTGCTCTGATTCCTGTGATTCAAAGCTTGGAGTAAACTATGCATGTACCTCTACAACTTTCGTATAGAGTTCCAAACCAAATAATGACTGGACCATGCCCGAAAAGACCATGTAAAATTGTATCTACATGCAGAAAATTGCAGCAATAAATTTAGTTGGAAATTGAGCCGACTCCAACAACAAATAAATCCATTCTCTTTAGCCCATTGTCGTGCACCTTAACACATGATATCCACCTGCATAAACCTGTGATATCGGCTGTCACGAAAAAAATAATTTAAAGTTCGCTAATGTTCAAAAGTTTGCTATTTCGATAGTGGGCTGCACAATTATCTTCACAATCACATATGTATATATAATTTCATCTAATTATATGTCAGTCTTCAAAAGTAGTACTGGTTAGTTTTGTATGTGTGGCGTGCAATTAATAGTAATCATCTTTAGTCCAAAAGAATCTTTAAGTCCAAATCAAAAGTAAACTGTCAACATTTTCATTAATAAAAACAATTAAACAAATCCAATAAATCCTACGACAAACATCCATGAAACGCAAATAATTAAAGAGAGCAACCAAAAGAAGAGTAAGTGCTCATACGTAAAACAAAAGAGCCTGCCCTGGATAACTTTCATTATTAAACTTTTCAAGTCTAATCAATTTGTTGTTTAAGCAAAGATTTATAAACTTCTCTTGATTTGGATTTGGTTCCCCTCAAGTCTCAACAATGATTAATAATTAGACTACGAGAACATGGGTTTGTAGTTATGCAGTCTGTGTCATTAGGTATAATATTTTTCACATATAACAAATAAAAGAGGTTGGCAATGTGGGGCTACTTGAGACAACTCTTCTTTGACTATGTATCATGCATGCTAGAGTTAGAAGTAATTGTCCAACCCTCTCATATAGTGCCTTAAAAAGATTTTAATATGAATATGTTAGCATTAAAAAAATCTTATATCAGATTTAACTTTCTATTGCATTAATCTCCCATATCATTAATTTGTCACCATCACGAAACATGTAGCTTGACTGGTTTTTGTTAAGGGGCTATTTGGCGCTCGCTGTAACTGCAGTTACGTGCAACGTGCCATTTTGGATCGGTTATACCTATTCTTTCAAGTTTCAATCCAACTAATAAATAACAATATTACGATAGTAGATAGGCATCTAGGTGCAGTCATTCATGGATCTGGATACAAGTCATAGTTGTAACCTTTCTTAAGCTATAAAACAGAGTCTAAATTGCAACAATATAACTTGCAACCAGCCTCAAAGTTAAGTTGGGGTTAAAAAAAATCCGAAAACAAATAGTGGCAACTGTAACTATAAATTCCAAAAGTTAAAAAAAATCAAAAAAAATTGTGGCTCCAATATATGCATAGTAGCTATGGTAACTGTAGTTAAATACAACTGACACCTGCATTGTAATTATCGTTTATGTGAGAGAATTGCAACTACATTTCTAACGAACCAAACAACTCCTGAGTGTCTAACTATGTTCAGGACAGCTAATTTAGTTGTTCGTAACCTCTATAACGGTCTTTAATGTAGTGATAATAGTCATCATAGAATATCGTACAATAGTGTGTGATGCATGCTAGAACTAATAGCATCTATCTTAGTTGCAAAACATAGTCATCGTTAGAATTTCAAAAGGACATGGTTCAACTTTAAGCTAGGCATACTTGTTCTTCTACTTTAAGATTTGGTTCTACGTACTTAGGTTTTAATAATAATTGCAATGAAAGAGGTTGAAAGAGGTTGATTCTTGTCACGGGCACTCTGATTAAGTTTGGTGACCTAATATTTTGGTTTATGCGTTCCTTAACGTTGACAATTCTAATCTTAGATATGCTAATCATCAAGTAATCCATTGCGCTTGGACTTTTCATGGAGGAATCAATCCTCAACCATATAGTATATGGTTTTGTTGCTAGATACATTAGTGTAGAGTTATATAGGGAGCTAAAATACTTAGCATGGGACAGAATTTAGGAGCAATAACCACTTTTATTTTTATCAGTTAGTGAAGATAGGTTAGGTTAATTAGGATTCACCTAATCCGCGTCTTATTCGAGGTTAAGAGTGAATTGGTAAACTCCAAGGGACGACATATGAGGGGGCGAGAGATGCAGTGGGAGAAAATTTCTGAAGCCATCTTTCCGAAAGCAGCTTCTAGTGCCAGTCTCAGTGTTTTTTTTCTCCCTTCTCGTAGAACTCCATTTTGATGTTTTAAGCTTTCAAGGATGTCTCCTCAGAACTTCTAGTCTTTTTTTGTTTTATATATTGGGAAGAATAGGAAACAAAGTAGATTTTCTCTATCCGGTGACGACACGATTCGCTCCCGGATGTTTACATCTCCTCTGGTTCCTACTCTCTTTCGGTTCTTTTGGATTGCTCATGTAAATATTTACCTAAAATCTATTTTATATAATATATATCATGAACAGGGTTCCTCACCCTGTTTAAAATCTTCAAAAAAAAAAAAAGAGTGAATTGGTAAATAATGAACAAGACATAGACCATCTATAGAAACTAATCCCAGTTACCTAAAAAGAAAAAAAAAAATCCTTAATCTTATCCCAGATACTTAAAATAAAAAAAGTCAGACAAAATTATTGAATGATCTAAAATGACAGGCTAGATTGAAAAGCAACACATGATCCTTTTGACATGTTATTGCACTCAAATGATTGTTACCACTTTTTTTCCCCTATTTGATCTTTTAAAAAAATTCAAGAGACTCATGTGCATTTTCACAATATTAGTAGGAAAGTCTCTATCTTGCCTCATGATAACCATCTTTCACCAAACAACTGTAGATAGATAGCTAACAAAAAGATTTATGTCTCGCTCTCTGCCCTTATATGCAACGGGAGATTCTACCATTTTTGGTGTGTAGTATAAGCAACAACTAAATCCGTACAAATTCTTTCAAAAAAAATCAATAACAGATACAATTAATGATTAAATCCTAAATGAAATATAGTTATCATTAAACTTCTGATACTCGAGTCGCTCTCTAGATGGAAAACAAACAAGCGTTTAGCTTCTTCATCGAAAATGATATCTTCAAAGTTGATATTCTATCTGTTGGATTTTTTGGTCAAAACTGCTTTCCAAAATGAGTTTACCAAAATGAGTTTTCAAACTATATATATATTAACTATAAGTATTTTTCATAAATGCTTAGTAGCCTAGTGGAAAGTTTATGTTTTGGTGTTTCAAAAGGTCCCTTGTTCGAGGCGAGAAGTGTTTTATTTGAATTAATCACTCATAAGTTCTAATGGGCCGTAGGCCAATGGGCCGGGGATCGGGGCTAATCGGGCTGAGGCGCTAAGTGACGCTTTGTTAGGCGCACTTTGCACTTCGCACGGAGGCATCGGGGCGAGGTGGCGCTGTTTGGCGCCAACCTTGGTTCGCCTGTTTGACGTTGTTCGTTCATTCGACGAGGTTCGTCTGTCATACGAGGTTCGTCTGTCATACGAGGTTCGCCTGTTTGACGAGGTTCGTCTGTCATACGAGGTTCGCCTGTTTGATGAGGTTCGCTCGATCGACGAGGTTCGCATGTCATACGAGGTTCGCCTATTTGACTATGTTCGCTCGTTCGATGATGTTCGTCTGTCATACGATGTTCGCCTGTTTGACGACGTTCGTTTATCAAACGAGGTTCGTCTGATATGCTGAGACGTGACCCTCGCGTTTCGTAGCAACGCGTCCATTGATTGCCTCGTATTTAGCAGTTACTGCATGCAGAAGTTACAATAATATTAAGAGCAATTTAATGCATTGATGTTACAATCTTAATTGTCATTAAGAATTGTAACAGTCATATTAATTGCTAATGACTCTTGAGCTGGTCTTAGAGGCCTATAAATAGCGCCATTGGGCAGCTCTTGGTTGTTGTTGGAAAAACTCTCTCGCGAGTGTGGAATACGAACGTCAGTATAGACATTGGGCAGCTCTTGGTTGTTGTTGGAAAAACTCTCTCGCGAGTGTGGAATACGAACGTCAGTATAGAATACGAACGTCGGTATACCCACGCGAGCTTGGAATACGAACGTCAGATTGACGTTGTTGTTGTGCTGCTGCTGCAGAACTGTGCCCGCAGGAACCCTGAAACCGAACGGTTTGAAACCGAAAGGTTTTGAACCGAAATGTTCTGAGATCGAGGAGATCTTTTGCCTTGACCGAAAGGTCTTACAGATCGAGGAGATCTTGACAGTACTGGGTTGGTGCACACCAGAGTACTGTACAGTTGTTCCTGAAAGCAGTTTGGCCTTGAGATCCTTGCACCGGAGTAGGCCAAATATTGCTTTAAGCATAGCGTTTTCACAAACGCACAACAGTTAATTGAAAATTTTAAAATAACAGCACATCATCATTCACTGTTCAATTCCAAATTTCACCTTAATTTCCAACACTATCTAACTTTGAAAATTAATCTTATATAATCTTTTCTTATTTCTATTACGTTTTATATTATGGGTCTGTTCAGTTATTTCCTAAAAATCAAGAAATGGAAATGGAAAAGGTGAAAATCTCAAAAAGTACTATTTCTTCCATTTCCATCCCTAAAACTCACACACAACATTCAATAAAATATTATTTTCATCCAACAACTCATCCACATCATCTAATAAAATATTATTTTCATCTAACCACTCATCCATCACATCTAATAAAATATTATTTTTCATCTAATAACTCATCCATCACATCTAATAAATTATTATTTTCATCCAAACATCACTCAACTCATCTCTTCTCATCATTTCAAATCACTCATATCATCCAATAAAATATTATAACAATTCACCTCATCTCATTAACATTTCATTTCTTTGTTTTCATTCCAAAAAGTTGTGAAAACACTTTGTTTTCATCCTAAAAAGTTGTGAAAACACTTTTCTTAATCTTTCTTCACATCACCCAATAATACAATGACAATTCATCTCATCTCATTTCATTTCTTATTTTTAAGAATGAACCAAACAAAAGAAAACAACAAACTACAGGAAATAGGTTTCTTATAATTCATTTCCTTATTTTTTTCGTCAACCAAAAAACATCAAAACTAGTTTTCTTAAAAAATCACTCACATCATCCAATAATAATGTGACAACTCATCTCATCTCATCTCCATTTCTTTGATTTCCTTCTTTTTTTAGCCAACCAAACAATTCAAAAACCTATTTTTCTTAGAAATAGGTTTCTATTTCTTTGATTTCCCATTTTTTAAGGCAAACGAACAGGCCCTTATCTAAACGGATGCAATGTCTTTTCCATAACTTTTAGCTCCTGTACTTCCTCTTTGCTAATTAATCATAGAGATGCTCTCTTTTTAAGTGTATGATGATGTCATTTGGCTAAAACTGAAGATAACAATCAAAGAAGGTTAACGTCGCATCCCAAAAAAGTGTTCTAAATGTTGCTGATGCGATCGAAAACCATTTTGGTTTTGGATAAAGATATCGTTATCTCCAAGTATATCACAAGACCAACAAGTGATAATGGTATAAAATAAGTTAAGATCCTGGATATAATTTTTCTAAATAAATTTATACACAAAGAAAGATCATAGCAAAGCAAAGGATCCTGCATAACATTAAACTAATTTATGGTCTGTTTGGATGGAGGATAGAGAGGGGGGAGAGGAGGAGAAACGTAAGTTTAACCTTGTTTGAGAGCTGCATTTAAGAGGGTAGAGGAGTGAATGGGTGAGAAATTTGTGCCAAAATGTTACACCCCAAATTAGGAGGTAATGAAGGGGAAGGGAACGAAAGAGAAATTTTCCCCTCCCTCCCCTTCCCTAAGTGAACTCCCAAACATATTAAGGAGTAAATTAAAGTATTAGGAGGGAGAAGGGAAGGGGAGGAGACTTTGCTCCATTGCTCACTGAACGATGCAGTTGAGATCCAATGAAACTATTTTCAATCTCTGAATAATAAATACTAATAAGAGAGGTCATCTCCCTCTGATACAATAATCGTCGAGTCTATTGATCTGAGAGAAACATTATTGTATCGTCGAGTCTATTGATCTGAGATAAACATTCTTTCATCAGCTTTCAAATAAAAATTCACATGTCAGAGAACATTTTCAGATTGAAATTCAAATACCAGGGAACCGGCCGGCTCCATAATATTACCCACATCAAAGGTTTCTTTATTCATACAGTTACTTGAAACTAGACGAGCATAATTACAAGCTAGGTTCTATAACTTAGTTTGATACCATATTAACAGAAGGAAAGTCTAACCCAAATAAACAGATAATTAAGGCCTACAACCATATATTTATGTTCTCACATTGCAAATATATGTAGATATTAAGCTGACAGGAAGTCTACCAAATGACCCTTTGCGCATATTGCTGGCATATATTCATCCACTGCTGCTACCTCGGATAGCTAGGCTGCGTAGAGGGGGAAAAGACACTAATGAAATTGTAATAAAATGTAAATAAACAATAATATAGGGATTAGTTACTCCAGATGCACCTCACATACTATGATGTTACAGTCACTTATATGCCTTGAAAAAGCTTTTTCATTATCACCTAAACTCCCTGAACCTCAAGGGATAGTACTTTTTTTTTCTTTTCTTTTCCCTTTTTATCTTTTTTTCTTTGGTCATTTTTCCGGCTAAAGAAAGAACAAAAGGTGATTCGTAATCACGTGATTCTCGTATGACATATCAACCTAAGTTGGGGAACAACAGCGTCCAGAGCTCTGGAATTTCAAGTTATAATAAGATTGTTTAGGGAATATTAGTGGCTGTACGTTCATACTATAGGGGGTGTGTATGCAACTAACCCATAATATAATACGGATGCTTATTGTACTGATATGACGCTTTTACCTTAGTTATGTTATGGTTGGGGAACTTTGAAATTTCTATCACCTCTGAGGTTGATCTGAACTTGATGATCCAGCCGGAGGCACTGGGGACATGCTGCTTGCAGATCCATTTTCAGCGGGTGGAGCAGCTCCCCATCTACCTTCGGATTCTAACGGTTCCAATACATGAACATTGCCATCTGTAAGTCCCAGGGCAAGTTGGTTGGGTTCTGATGGATGTGCAGCAATTACAGTTGGATAGACGCTTGAGCTAGAATCACATAAGAACCATAGATAGGAAGTTAGAAGAGATCATGATACAGTCCGTAGGCATAGCATATACTAAGCATTTTGCTTCGTGTCTTTAAGAATTATATAGAAGAAAATCCCAAAACATATTTAAAAAGAATACGGTTGTTTAAAATTATGAAAGTAGGAACTAGGAAGTAGTGTCCATACAGTTCAAATTAATTCCCAAGTTTGTCATATAGGGTAGCCAAATGTACTGTTCTAAAATTGCAGGAAATATAGGGTAGTTAAATGTATCATTCTAAGGACAACAGTGCTTCATGCCCTTTCAAGTTTCTTAATGATATGTTGTTTCAAGAAGAAAGACTTGTCTGCCCGATAATGTTATTTATGTGACTAAAGATATGCATGATAGAGAAATTTAAGTTGTGACTAGAGAGATGCATGATAGAGAAATATAAGTACGAGTACCAATCAACTCTTGAATATCATATCTTACATCAAGGTCTGAAATTAAGTCATTGTCCTTTACATTTGTTATAAATGTAAGCTCCTAGGTGCGTTTTATAGGAGAGTTGATGTATTAGTTTGCTGATGATATTGTTCGAAAGACGAGACAAGATAATGGACTGCTTTATAATTAGAGAGAAGATATAGAATCTTAAAGAAAATGTATAATTGATGGGCAAGCAACACATATGAGATAGTAAGCTAAGTATTTTCAAATTAACAGCCAAATTACCAAACTACAGTTTGTTACATAGAAGTCAAGAACATGCAAGTTGGACCATCAAGAAATATCAAGAGAGGAATGAAGGGAAAGATTAACAGCATGACTAAAGATAAAATAACCATATATTACAGTGCACTACAGGTAAGAAGCCAGTATTTTTCAGAAGCAAAAACTACCTGAGATTAGCAGGGAGATAGGCGGCAGGATTGATTCGACATCTCAGCTTGAAATTCGCAGCATTAAATATGCAAACGCTAGCATCCAAGAAACTTGCATATATCAACTGACTGTCACAAGAGAATGTGGCGTGGGAGATTGGCGCAGAACCTTCACGTGGAACCCACTATAGACCGAATTTTCACAAGTTAACAAATAAAGCAAATATAGTATTTGAGGAACTGAAATCTGGAGTTCTCAGAAAAGACAATACCTGCTTAACACACTCTAGGTTACTGGTTTCATATAGAGCTATTTGGGTCTCATGTACAGCTAGGAAGTGTATCTGATCCTGATGGAACTGAACACGGGTATCTGAAACAGTAGGTGAACTATGACCTGATGGAATTTGCAAGAACTTGTTCTTTTGTTTCTCCCATCCATCAGTTCCCCAAACAAAAAGCTGCAGAAGAAACATAGTAAAGTGACATGAGGTTCCAAAATTTTCCTTATGATATTTAAGTTGTTCATATGAAAGACCAGAAATGATAAAATCTGAAAGTGGGCTTGAAAACTTCCATGAAGATTCAATACGAGGAAATCAAGTTAAGTGTATTGACACAGCACCAATGCTGGGGCCAGTTTCCAGCAGAACAAAAATTGTAACAATCATATGTTGCCATATGTAAGATAAAATGTCACCTGAGAATCAGCTCCAGATGAGACCAGAACGTTTAGAGAATTTGAGAAGGCAAGACCAGTAATTCTTTTTGAATGGCCTCTAAGCTTGCTCTTGACCTGTATAAAGAATTGGTTAGAACCTAACTTTCCCTTCTCAATAAAGCAAACAATATTGTTTCTTTTTCTTCGTACCTCATCAACTCGGACATTGTAGATTTGGATTGTAGAGTCGTCCATCCCTATAGCAATAATGTTGTTGTCTTGAGGATGGAATGCAAGAAATGTCGCTGCAGGTGGCGGAGCCATGAAAGTTGTCATTGTCTGCAATAAACGCAAGCCAAATTTGTTAACATAGAAAATAAGAACACTTTGTGTTACTGAGTTAAAAGATTACCTTAAAGGTCATCATATTGAATAGAGAAATTTTGCCCCCTGATGCTGACATGACATAAGAATCATTCTTTGACAGAGCAAAGCAAGAAACTGCTTCCTCAGGATTGGTGTTGGCTCTATCATTGGTCATCAATATGCCACTTGGTGGTTGCCATAATTGTGGGTCAATGCTTGCAGTTGCCTACAAAGTGTAGTATGTGAGAAAACACATATGCAAGGCTCTATGTCCTTGAATGCTGGAATAGACATTTTTTTATACCTTCCCATTGTTACTTCGAGGCCACTTCCAAAGAAGATGAATAGCATTGGATGCTAACGCTAGGATTGAAACACCCGAATTTGTATAAATCAACCTCGATATCTGTAATAACAGAAACTCAATCTAATAAGAATCTTCAACTAATGTCAACAAAAATTTATTACTAATGTCAACAAAAAATTATAATAAAAGTTCTCTGCTTTTGCAGATGAAATCTCAATGGCAAAAGATGAGTTAAGGGAAATTTATGTAAAAGGTTAAAGAACATATGAATTAGGCTTGCAATTGTGGAGATATGTGACATAAAAGCAGGCATGTTAAATTTCTAGCATGCATGACTCATAACACACGGATTGCATGAATGATGTTTCCCCAGCCACACTCTACTTGGGATATAAAAGCAGACATGTAATTTCTGACATGCACAACGCAAGTGTTTCCCCAGCCACACTCTACTTGGGATATAAAAGCAGACATGTAATTTCTGACATGCACAACGCAAGACACAAAGGATTGCATGTGTGATGTATCCCAAGCTACACACTGCTTGAGAAATCAGTAAACTTCCATTCGTGGAGTCCAAATATCCTATATCAGAATACAAAGAGAGACTCTCGGAGTGATATAGCAACAAAAAAAGGCAATATAATAGAACTAACAAAAAGGTGTTACCTTGCTCGCTCTCATGTTATCCATAAGCCATAAAGATCGACATTGTGTGGGTTCATTAATTTCAGTAAGCTTCCAAATCCTTGATTTGTCTGTCAAGTCATCAGGTATTCTTGGTTTTACATCCATTAAGCTTCTAGCATCTCCATTCTGTCAACATTAATGTCAGGTTGAACATAAATCTTTAAGCGCCATAAGGAAATATATATTTGGATGAAAATGGTTCAAATGAGTAAGGAGAAAAAAGTGACTCATGCTGCATCATTGATTATTTGTTGAAAAGAAATCATTAGAGAAGAAATATTTGAATGAAAATGTCACCAACCATCCCAGTCATTGCTGCCGCTGGAGAAGCTCTATCCATTAATCCAGAACTCGTTGCAGCAGCACCAGCAGAAAGAGGTACTACATTCTGCATAAGCAGTAGAACGTCCAAGTCATGAAGCAGAGTTATCTCCTAATCTGAAATCATAGGCCAAATGCTTCTAGTAATCACGGGTGGTTACCTTTGTGGCATTGTCTGCAACAGTTCTAGAATTATCAAAAGGACGATTTTCAAATGTACGCAACAGACGCAATCCATCAGCATTTGCCAAAATTTTAATTCCGTTTTCATGTGCAGAAACGGCCAACAGCGTTCCCTCCTTGTTGAAGCGTATATGCGGACTTGCCTAATAATTACAGGTATTAAAGACGCCTATGAGATAATTATGTATGAGCTATACTTTCATCATAGTGTGTATGTGCACGCATATTTGAGTGAATTTTTAATTATAGCCATATGGGGACTCATAATAAAACATACAGGTAGACCACCATCAGCATCAACCGTTGTCAAGAGGTTGACATTATCCATATCCCAGTATTTGATCACAAACTCATCACCAGCAGCTAAAAAGCGGTTCTTAGTGGTATCAAATTGCACCACACCCAATGACCTTTTACGAAATCCAAGGTATGTTCTCTTCACAGCTCCTTCACTTTCATTCCATTCTACGAGATATGAATCCCCTTCTTTGCTAGTTCCACAGGAAAAGAGCCTACAAAGAGAAATTGGTAAGTTTGCAAGTACTACAAGCAACAAAAGAATATGAATATACTACCATCACAAAATGAGCCAGTTCAAAAAGCAAACCTGGAACCATCAGCACTATAAGCCATAGTAGTACACCAATGACCTGGGGCATCATAATCAACTCTAGACCCCAAATTATCATATAACCATGCCTTTATCTTACCATCTAACGCTGTCGAAAAGATGAACTGTATATTTACAGAATAAAAACTTTAGTTGGGGTGTACAGCATGTAACAATATAATATTAGAAAATTTATAAATTACAAAAATTTAATAATACATAGAACTTGAAACTACACCTAGATGTTATTGCAAGTTTACCTGAATGTTCTCCTTGTGGTGTGGACAAACAGAGTAAACAGGCGCCTCATGACCTTCAAAAGTATACTGTTTTGTTCCACTAGCAGCATCCCAGACCTAGTAAAGCACAATATTAATATACATACATAACAAAGATATAAATATTTACTATCCCCATATTTTACACCAGAAACAAACCTTAATTGTCTTGTCATCCCCGCAGGTTATTATGCTTAGTTGCTTATTGGGTTGAGCAAATGCAAGATCATTAACACCACCAGCATGAGCATCAATCTGCCAATTTTGACAGAACTCATGAGTTACAAGTATAAAGAAGCAAATGCTAAGAAAGGCATCAACAGCAAAGGTTTGTACATGTATACCTCTAGGTGCTGTCTAATAGCATCACTGCCGTGGTAAGTGTATATTTGCGCAATATGCCTTGAATAAGCAACACCTAGGAAATTCAAATGGCATTGTTAAAACTTCGGGTTTTTAAAGAAAATTTATTTGTTTTATTGTATAAGCTTACCAAACAAGGAGCCATCTGGGCTCCATATTATGCGGTTAACTGAGACACCAGGATCTTTGACAAGAGCAGTCTGTTCACACAATTAAACTTAATTTACTATGATATTCCAGAGATTATGAGTTCAACATATACTTTCAGTCAAAAAACCTGGAGTGACATTGAACATGCTCCAAGCTCCCAAACCTTGAAGTTCCTATGAACTAGTCGCTCCCTAGTGCCAACATCCCATAGTCCAATGTCGCCCATATTTGTACCAACTAAACCACAACAGAAACACCAAAAATATTAGCTGCAGCTTGAGAAAGAAAAAAAAATGGAAAATTTTGGACAGTTGGATAATGAAGAGAAAGATCACCCAGAAGCAAGGTTTGCAAGGTTGGATGAAAATCCATGCTCATGGGAGTTGAGCCCTGGTTGAGTGTCCGTGCAACAGTTTTTGGCAACTCATCAGGTGTGTATGCAGCTTGACTGTGACTCTGATAGGAAACTGGCAATATATTTACAGATAGATTACCCTGAACAAGGTGTTGAAAATTGAAAAGATCAAATAAAAGATCGTAAGGACATCACAAATATTAATACTTTAGCGCCTCCACGCCAAAGGCAGATCATAATACCTCATCAGAAATACCAATAGGCCTAGTTCTCTTAGATATATGATCAGAATCTACTGATGGATATTCTATAACAGGGTTCGCAGTTGGTGGAGTCCTTGGATGCTTCAGAAGAGCAGCTATATAAACAAACGACGTTAAGAAATTACAGATAATACATGTCAACTTTAATTATAACTTAATAAGAGGCAGAATTTTGCTGAAAAGAAATGTAGTGTAACATCTGCTAAAATAAACAAGTAAACGTACCAGGATTTGTCGAAGCGCTAAGTCCAAGGGCGCCACCAGAAACTGCTGGATGAGTAACCGTTGACGGATTAGACATCCAACCAGCTAACGGTGCCGGGACTGGTGCTGGTGCAGGTTGAAAAGGCTGGAACAGCCAAAAATCAAGTCAAATGGTGATCATAAAAAATAATTTACTAGCACCAATGTCCGCTGCTTACCACATGCGTACCCAGTGGAGGGAAACCTCCAGCTTTGGGTAAAGATCCAAGCAGTGGACTGTTTGCTGATGACTGGGCATGTGCACCATTTGGCTGAGCACAGGAATGATCAACAAAGAGGGTTTTAATATCCGGATTAGGCCTGGGGTTCTTACAAAGCTGATGCTGCCAGTTTAAGCTGCCAGATTAAAGAATAGCATCAGATCTCCTCCAAGCACTCATATTATAAAGTCATTTTAGCTTAGATTATGCAAGAATATAACATAATTTGATGAATCGAGAATAAGAATCATGTGTCAAATTGAACATGGCTTTGATATGAACTGCAGTGTCTAATGGTCATGCATACCACAGGCACAACATGCTCAGATATTTAAGCATGAAGAGATTCCTCTTGAGTTGACATAATACAGGTGCATGCAAAAATAATGATTGCAGAAAGAAATAGAGATATCAGCCCCTATTTTAGACTGCTCTGATTTTGTACATTTGGTGACAATGCTAAATGGCAACATTCTAACAAGTGGCAAAGCAGGTTGAGTAATTACAAGCTAACAGAATGTCATTGATTTACACCACCTTTCTTTTTGCAAATATAAATGCATAATTTGTTCATTCAGACCGGAGTATTACCTTTCCATTAGTCTAAACTTGAAAACAAAGTGCCGGCAATGAAATTGAGATAAGCAAACAAATTTACTGCTGAAAAAACTTAGAATGACAGTTATCAAAATGCAAGATTTGGAAACCATCATTTGAAAGTTACCTTTGATTAATAAGGGTGCGTAACCTTGAACTTTTAAGAGTTGGGAACTGCAGCTTCTCACGGAAAAGAGGGTTTGCTTCGATTAGCTTCTTAAGTTCGACCAGCATAATAGCTCTTGCAGATTTGGAGTCCCCATACTTCGAGAGTTGCTCATTTTCCCTTAAAGATAGATAACTCTTGTCACACGTCAAACATTTATTTGGCCAAACAGAGAATACAGGAGAAGTTTCAATTCAAACCTAAAATTTTCCAATGTCAATAGTTGGGTGATTTCCTTAAATAGTTCCTCATTAAACGAAGCAAACACCTTCAAATCCTTGACAAGTATCTCAACAGCCTTGGGACGATCACGCCTTAGAGAAAAAGAACACTTAATAACAGAAAAATATTTATAAATAATAACTATTTCTTTAAAATAGTTACTATACCACCTTGAACTGAAAAAAGGAACATTGTGCACTACCCCATGCATTACTTTTCCACATCCTTGGTCCATACAACGAAAATCAATGGGAGGTGTTTCAATACAAATGACCAACCACACAGCATTAAAAAATATATATTATCCCACATCGACGAACCATCCTCCAGCATTCTCCCTTAAAAAGAAATATTTACAAAAAAGATAACAAAAGATTCCAATAGCTCGCCCAAGAACTATAATTGTGCATGAACTGTATACCACCCCATATATCAGTTCTCCCACGTCATTGGCCCTTACAAGGAAACTTTGTAAAATGTTTCAACACAAATGAACCCGCACAAAAAGGAAATATAACTTATCAAACATGCATTGACCATTTTCTATCAGTTTACTTTAGAAAGAAACATTCAGAAAATGACAGAACAAAGAATCTAATAGTTTACCAAAGAGCTATGATTGTGCGCACATCGCAAATTTATCTAAATCTCTCTTTTATTTTTGCACAATGACCAAAAATTTCTAGCATCTACCATATCAAAATGCAAGGGTTTAGCTTACTTGTCCAAGGCCTCAAGGTACTTTTGTTTCCGAATCTCAAAGAAAATTTTCATGGAGTATCTGTTATCATCGACTTTCGTGAAACCGGACAGGTATTTCTCTACCTCATCCCAGTTCCCGCTGTGAACTTTCTCCTCGAAGTATTTCATGTTGAAAAAGAAACCAGATTCCTGTTCCAATCTGTCACACAGAAACAAACAATTTAGTTAAAAGTCTAATCTGAATCAAAATTCACAAAGATATAATCTTTCTAAAAAAAACACAAACTTGTGAACAGTCTCCTTGAACTTCTCCTCATCGAGAAACTGCAGAATCAAGAAAACCAGCTCTCTACTGAGAGACGACATCTCAGCTGTGCTCCAAACCCTAAAACATGAAGGCGGCAAAAAACTCAAATAAGAGTACAATTAGGGTTAATTTTCTAGAAACACATCAAATCGGGGCATGAGGAACCCTATCGCACGAGAATCTAGGGCAAAGTTACCAAAACTAGATGGACTTGATGAGATCGGTTCGAAATTGGGGAAAGTAGACATTTTTTTAGATTTTATTCATTAAAAAAAAGGGAAATTGAAAAAAATCAACCGATGCAAACCTCGGATTTGAGCAAAGAAGAGTAAATCCCTCGCTCTCTTCTGATCTTTTGGAGAGAAATTTGGTTGAAAATTGGAAGAAACTTTTCTGTTTGAAATGGGAAGGGAATTTTATTTATAGGAAGAAAGCAAACAGATGAGCGTTGATAAGCCAATGTTCGTATCATATAAGTACTGTACTTATACGGTGGTGAGCTATCATACGATAAGCACGTGAAGTACACCCACGGTTCCCCATGAGAGTGCGTTTGATCAGGAAAGGGGGAGTGAGGATCGGCTGTGACTCGCCAAACGCAGAACAGACAGGAAAACCAATAGAAAATTGCGGTTTCATTTTCAAATAAAAAAAACCTAACGAACCCTCTTCTTTTAAATTTTCTCTTATTACTTTTTATGCCATCCACACATTGCATACTTGCAGAGGCACGATGGTACACGTTTAAATGTATGTAATCTTAAAAATCATGAGAGCGCTATTTTTTTTCCCATCCATTTCTTATTATAAAGTCCTATATAAACTCAGTTTGCCCCATGTATATCTTGCATGGGGGGCAGTTTTGACATTTCGCTGTAAATTTCCACTATACACGCTCAAGTTGCCAAAGCGAATCTATAAAGAGGTGCTACTAGTGAAACTTTTTGGTGTATTATTTATTCGAGAGGCACTAGAGGCACACCCTCTACCATACTCCCAACCATACCACCTCTCTTGCTACAGCGCACGGGGTCCACATGAGATTTTAATTTTAAAATCTTATGTGGGCCCCGTGCGCTGTAGCACGAGAGGTGATGTGATTGAGAGTGTGGTAGATGGTGTGCCCCTATCATTATTTTATTTATTCCAAGCTTTAAGTACTCATGTGGCCATCTCCTATCTAGTGCCTAAAAAGGCTTATAATTTTTCCTACTTTACACTTAAGCACCCTTACTTATTTTTAGCAACACCTATATACGTTTGAGTTTCTACATTTATACTAGTCATAAACACCGTGCAAAACACGACATATCATTTTTTTTTCCGCTACAGTAATATTTTTTAAAATGCTACACTAATTTTTTTAAAATGCTACAGTTTTCTGTGTAGTACAGTGATATTTTATTCAAAAGTACCACAGTATTCTGTCAGCTGTTGTTACAATGATAATGATACAGTAAATGCTACTGTAGTATTTACTGTAACATGAATAATAAATCTTGATTTCTCTCATTTATATAGATGAGTAGATGAGAATATTCTAAGGAATTCCGTCGTGTTTGCACAACAGAAGGTTCTAAAACGCGGCCAGGAACAAGTGAGGGTACATAACTGCAAAATAAGAGAAACTATATAGTTCACGTATATTGCAAATTTAGCCCGTAGAATAATGAGCCAGCAAATTATTATTCAGCTAATAATGGATGTGGCCTCCTCTCTCCCTCTTCTTCCAGCAATCCCCTCAATCCGCCGTCCCCATTTCAACCCCAGGGTCTCCATCAAAACCCTAGCTTCTTCATCTTCTTCCTCTTCATACAAAGGCCCAAAACCCCGGCGAGATCTTGCGAGCGATTGGGTCTCCGACAACGATGGCCTCGTCCGCAGCCTCCCCATTTACGTCGGCGGCCTCTCTCTCCTCTCCGTCCTCGTCAACCGAGCTTTCTCCGGCATCGCCCCCGTCGCCGACGCCTCCAGGTTCCTCCGAGACCTGGGTCAAGTTCAAATTTTTTATTTTTATTTTGTTTTTTGAAATTTCTCTCGAATTTTCTGTTTTGCTTAATCTCTTTGTTTTACCGCGGGAAAATGGGGGAAAAGATTGCATTTTTGAGCGTATGAGAACAGATTATTTTTTCCGCTTGGTGTAGGTTTTCAGGATAATTTCGTGGTAATTACATTTCCAAGGATTTTGAAAATGTTAGATGATGTGACTTCCGTGTAGTTTATGGGGGCCATTAACGCGACAAGCTACCTGAATACGATGAATCTGAGTTGAAATTTCAGTTTTCCTTGAAATTTCTGAGTTTGTGTTTAGCTTAATCTATTTGTTTGCCTACGGAAAAGGGGGAAAGATGACATTTAAGGTTGCTCTTTAGTGTGAAAGCTTGTATTTTGAGAACACCTGTAGGTGAATATTGAGGAATATTTGCCTGATTATGTAGCTTTTCAGGATAACGTGATGTTAGTCATGATACCGAGAATCTTCAGGTTGTACTGGTAGGAAATTTGATGGCCCCTATCTATAACAAAACCTGAAAAATCTAGGTTCTAGAGACTGATACTTCTGTCTCAACCTTGGAGATTTTGGCATATTTTCTAGTGCTCGCTGCAGTTTCTATTGTTTTCATTCAAAATATTATGGTTAATCTCTACAGTAGTTGGTTCTCTTGTTTTCTTGTAACTGTAAATGCTTAGCATTGATAAACAAGTAAGAAGATAGCTTGTTGGTATAACAAAATTAGGCATTTCTTTAAGTAGTACGTAATGGGGGGTTTAGAAGAGCACAAATTCATCAGCTTTTTCTTTAATAATCTGATTACTGTCTTCTTTTGTTACGAGAAAGCTTATAGAATTGTTTTAAAATGCTTGAGTGCACTTGAAGAGTGGTGACATATTGAATAAATGAATGTTCTTCGTAGATACAAATCTATCGCTGATATAATGATGGAACCTGTTATCATTTCTCTGTTATTGGTTCGACAATCTGGATAAAAAATTGTGTCATTCATTTTATTTATTTATTTATTTCAGCATCTAATTATCTTCTATGGTGAACCTTGGAAAAACTTATGAGGCCATCTTTTTTTTTAACAGTTCACAATCGAGAGCAGACATATTAACTCTTGGTTTGGCTGTAACCAATCTTCTTACTGGCCTTGTATGGTTGTCGATTCGACCAAAGGATATTTCTCCAGTGAGGACTTCATTTTGTCATAGTTTTTCTAATGAGACTTGATGCATTTTTTGTTCATGTCAATAAATTTCTCCCTGTTGGTATCAGGTGGTCCCTAAGGGCGTGGACTGTAGGCGGATAGACTCGACTATTTCTCAAGTTGCAGCTTGTGAATTGCTATGGTATCTTTATTTATAAACACAATGATTACTTTTTCTGTTTTAAACTTCTGATGCTATTCTTTTCATTACAACTTGTGTGTCGCTTCTCAATGAAGTTGGTATTCGAAAATAATAATAATAATAATAAATTGAAGCATTTTATCCAGAATTAAAATTATTTTTGCTTCTTCTTTCCATTTCAGCCTAATTCAACGAGTTGTTACGAGAAAAAAAAGGTTTCTCTTTTACGGTGCAGCTAGAGCACCATCTTCTATCATCTTTTATTGATGCAATTTTGGTAATCCAGAAACTAGATCGATATCTTTTATGGGTAGTCTCTTCTTGTTTTTCATGCAATGTGTAAATGGGATTTCTTACATAACTTGAACTATAGATACTTATTTTCTGCAAAGGTTACATAAATATTCTGCTGGCATGTGTTTTATATTATTAAATACTAACATGATGGTTCTGATTTGTAATGCTCAGGGCATGGGAATCACTTTCAGCTGCATCATGTTGCAGGTCGTTAGTGATTGTATATGGAGGCAACTGTCTTCTTCAAATTGGTGTTGCAGCTGCTGTAGGTAGTGATCCTGTGATTATTGATGTTCCAAAGTTAATGCAGGGTTCACTCTACAGAAATGCAATGAAATCTGGAAAGCGTATGTATTTTGAAAGTTCTTTCAGACACTCTTTTCAATTTCTAATTTCTTGAAGAATGTTTTTCTCTCAACATTTTAAGTGGCTATTCTCTGCAGAAAGCTACTTGGCAAATCTCTCTCTTTATCCTGGAAAGTCCGAACTTCCTTTCTTGCCTATTGACACACAGGTACTTGTTAATCTGTATGGTAAAAATTCTTCATTTACAGGCGTTTTTTTTTTTAACTTTTTCCTCATCATCATTTATTCTTTTCAGACTCATTAAGTGAAAAAATTTAGCATCTAGAAATGTAAAGTCCAGTGCTTTCAAGGGTCTATGTGGTATACAGATATAGAAACCGAATCAAATGGAGGAGAGAGAGAATCGTGTCCTCCTTTATATAAAAGATTTGAAAACAAAAACATGGCCTACCAAATCAAACCTTTATATCTAGGTTAAAACATTTGAAAACAAAATTGCCCATACCTTATCTAAAAGATTTGGAAGTTAAAACTAAGATACACCATAAAAGTAACCAAAATAATTCAGAATCCTAGTCAAGTTTACAATCCTTTACAATGATTTAACCATGTTGGAGCCTAACTTGATTAAAATCATCTTCACCTGAACTTGTCACGCATCACAATGTATAATGAAGAAGAGAGTATATTTTCCAGGACTTACATAATTGACATCACTGCTATCTTGAGCTCATATCTAAGTTTATCATCATTCCAGCAGAGCATGTGCTCTACCTCCACAAGTTGAAGCATTTGTGTCAGTTGTTTAACAATATGCCCATTAAAATTAACCTAAGCATCAGACCTGTAACACCCTGTTTGGATGGGGGTGAATGTAGAAGAGGGGATGAGAAGCAAAAAGGTTCACTCTGTTTGGGATTTTTTTTTTATTAAGGGGAATGGAAGAGAAGGGAGGTGACAAAATTCACCTCCATTAGTCACCAACTATGTTACCGGGGTACTTCTATAATGAAGTCGTACCCGTACCGGATACGTACCCGACACTTTCCCGTACCCAAACTTCATGGACACTTCTTGAATATATTCATGCATTTATTACAACATGTACTCAATTATACGATATGTGTTAATTTAAAACACTTGTCAAAGACTTCCTGGACGTAGAGCTTACACTTCACATCCGTCTTTTGAAACTAATGAGATACGGGTCAGATTCGTTTCAGCCCATACACAAGTTTAAAACTATATAGTTAATGGGTTGTTTAGATGTCTAGTAAAAAAATAAGTAGTTTACAATTCACGATAATCAATATGATAAAAGAAACTTAAAAATGTGATCGAAATTTTAATTCTAATGACACACGAAGGGGAAAAATTATCTTATATACAGTATTAATTCAATATATATGTAGTTGTGTCCCCGTACCCAACATTTTATAGTTTTGTCGTGTCCCGTACCTGCACCCGCACCAGTACCCGTACCCGTTTCCATGCAACTTAGGTCACCAATCTATAGGATTTGATTCCCTCCAAATTGGGGTTTAGAGGAGGTGAAACATCTGTTATAAAATGGTATGATCCTGTTTTTTATCTACTACATGGGCAATGTGTTTCCTTGTCATGAGATCATAACAAATCTTTACTGCACCGTTATACATTTTTGTGCAAGTGAACTGGCTAATGTGCATGTTACTTTTACTAGGCAGTCATTTTGCAGCCATTAAGTGATAAAGGAATAGCAATCATTGGCGGTGACACTATTAGGGGTTTCAACAATCTTGACCAGGTATTTTATTTGCTGGTTATTGTCTTTTTTTTTCTCTAATCCATTTAGCCAATGTTCTCAATCTCTATCCTGATAGTCTCCACCAATTATATATTACTCATACTGTATAATATCCTTGATTTAAGGTTGACCATAGGTTGAGGAACTTAAGGCGACATTTCATTGCATGGACCTATCTATAAGAGTAGAAAAGTAGCATAAACATTAACACATTGCTAAAAGAAATGTTTGAATCTGTGCTCTACCTCCACAAGTTGAAGCATTTGTGTCAGTTGTTTAACAATATGCCCATTAAAATTAACCTAAGCATCAGACCTGTAACACCCTGTTTGGATGGGGGTGAATGTAGAAGAGGGGATGAGAAGCAAAAAGGTTCACTCTGTTTGGGATTTTTTTTTTATTAAGGGGAATGGAAGAGAAGGGAGGTGACAAAATTCACCTCCATTAGTCACCAACTATGTTACCGGGGTACTTCTATAATGAAGTCGTACCCGTACCGGATACGTACCCGACACTTTCCCGTACCCAAACTTCATGGACACTTCTTGAATATATTCATGCATTTATTACAACATGTACTCAATTATACGATATGTGTTAATTTAAAACACTTGTCAAAGACTTCCTGGACGTAGAGCTTACACTTCACATCCGTCTTTTGAAACTAATGAGATACGGGTCAGATTCGTTTCAGCCCATACACAAGTTTAAAACTATATAGTTAATGGGTTGTTTAGATGTCTAGTAAAAAAATAAGTAGTTTACAATTCACGATAATCAATATGATAAAAGAAACTTAAAAATGTGATCGAAATTTTAATTCTAATGACACACGAAGGGGAAAAATTATCTTATATACAGTATTAATTCAATATATATGTAGTTGTGTCCCCGTACCCAACATTTTATAGTTTTGTCGTGTCCCGTACCTGCACCCGCACCAGTACCCGTACCCGTTTCCATGCAACTTAGGTCACCAATCTATAGGATTTGATTCCCTCCAAATTGGGGTTTAGAGGAGGTGAAACATCTGTTATAAAATGGTATGATCCTGTTTTTTATCTACTACATGGGCAATGTGTTTCCTTGTCATGAGATCATAACAAATCTTTACTGCACCGTTATACATTTTTGTGCAAGTGAACTGGCTAATGTGCATGTTACTTTTACTAGGCAGTCATTTTGCAGCCATTAAGTGATAAAGGAATAGCAATCATTGGCGGTGACACTATTAGGGGTTTCAACAATCTTGACCAGGTATTTTATTTGCTGGTTATTGTCTTTTTTTTTCTCTAATCCATTTAGCCAATGTTCTCAATCTCTATCCTGATAGTCTCCACCAATTATATATTACTCATACTGTATAATATCCTTGATTTAAGGTTGACCATAGGTTGAGGAACTTAAGGCGACATTTCATTGCATGGACCTATCTATAAGAGTAGAAAAGTAGCATAAACATTAACACATTGCTAAAAGAAATGTTTGAATCTTCTTGCAAAATATATTGAAAATTTTCTGTTTGGTCTCTTAGGAAAAATAAGCACGCCCTGATTTTTAATGGTTCACCATCTTGCTAGGCTTTTATTAGAATCGTGTCAGGTTCAGCTAAATCTAAAGCAATAATCCACAATCATACAATTTACAGTTTTGGCCTAATTGGCCATCCAAATGGTAAGTATGTGGGTTGCACGCGATTGCCTTCCTCATATCACTTGTGCGGTTGGAAATGTAGCCTGAAAATTACTATTGAAACATTTTCAACCTCCATGTTGTCTCCAAAGAAATGTTTTAAGGTTGTGTTTGGAAACTTGGATTTGGATTTAGAAAGTTGATTTAAAATCAAGGGATTTTAAATTTAGGATTTGAAATCCATGATTTAAGAAATCTTTTGTTTGGATATCTTTATTAAATGAAAGGATTTTAAATCTTTGATTTCAAAATCTAGTGTTTGGGTACTTTATTATACATGAAATTGAATTTAAAATTGATGAATTTTTTTTTCTCTTAACCCATCAAATGCAATGGAGATGTGTAAAATAATAACCAAAAAAACACAAATTTATAATTTTGGCGATGATAGCTACATTTGATAAGTTTTCAAATTCATTACCCGCCATAACTTGCAAGATTTTTAGCAAAATGAAAATGAAAAAAACTCCAAACATATCAAGTATCTTACAAAAAAATATCTAAATAATACATCACCACTGCATATTTTACAGATATCCAGGCTGGAAAACATTGGAGGCTTGTTTAATATTTCACACATATTCAAAGTGAGAATAAGTTGATATCAGAGCAAATAAGTAACAATTTCATGTGTTTTCACATTAAAAATGTAACTATCTAAACCTTGATTTCAACCTATAAGCCATGCTCAAACATCATCCTATATAAACAGAGCAGGTACAACTGACAATTACATAGTCAATTTGGTCTTTGATATACCAAGAGAAATGTTAATAAGAAAAAATACAAAGAGTTGCAAATTGAATAGCATGTGAGAAGAGAAGTATCCTCAATGTAAAGAAATTGCAACCGAGAATTCAGAACTGCTCGTATGATAAACCCTATCCGTAGCAACAAAAAAATAATTCAACAATCATCCAAATCTAAAATTTGCCAGAGACTAACAGAGGACCAATCGACACTTGCGCTTATTTTGCTATCCGAATTCAACAATCATCCAATCTGCAGGAAGAAAGGTGGGCAAATTAGAGGAAAGTAAACCAAATTGAAACATATCTTTCATAACAAACTTTAATTGACCAAAAACAATAATTAAACCTATCAAAATCCTAACTTTTACCGAACAAAGTAAACTTAATTTCGAGAATCACCAAAGAAAACACCAAAACCTGTAAAAACCCACAGAGATCAAGAGCAGTCTACTCATCAAAGGCATCACCAGCGCAATGCATCAAACTAAACCCTCAGAAAACCATCATTTTCACCAAACAATCCCACATCCACCCGAAAGTACACGAATCCTAGTCTCAAACCCCTAATTTTCTCAGATCTCGACTAAAATAGGCTAAAAACAGCAGAAATCAAGGCAAACAGGACAAAAGACCTAGATTCAGGTGACAAGAAAGAGAAAAATGTGATGTGAGGACTGGGATCTTACCTTCAAACGAAGCATGACTAATGTCCAAATTGACGGATGATATAGCTTGTACCAATACAGATGAGCAAAGCATAGACGCACGCAGCAGAAAAAATGTGCCAAAGCATAGACACGAGAGAAATGTTTATTGATATTTCAAAATTCACGGAAACAAGATGCACACTGATCACACTTGAGCAATATAAACCAAGGACTTTGTTCACAACACTTAATTCTCTCTCACACTTGAAGATAATTAGAGCATAACAACACTTCTCAGAGCTCAATGCCAGGTTAACCCTAAAAATTTATCTGACATTTCTAAGAAGTCCTTAACCTAATATGTTAACCTATTAAGCCCCTGTAGTTATCATTTCCAGTCAATTGAGTCCCATGGTCGTGGTTCTTCAGAAATATTCCACTCTTTACTCAGAACCACATGGGTACCCAATAGACTGGAGTAATAACCTATACACCTGCAGTTAAAATTTGATTGAACTTGCAGATGGTACCTTCCATTTCTATTAAGTATGGAAAATCATCTTCAATACAATGGAAATCTGATTTGATCTTTTGGTGATTATTCTAGTCGGTTTACCAGCAACGGAGAAAGAAAATCATTACTGAATGTGCTACTGAGGTCTGATTCAGTGATGCAACTAGAAATTGGGTTAGCATGTACCAGATTTTACAAGAGGAAAATGAAAACACACATTCTTTTCTGAAAAAGATTTAAAGCCGTCCAAGTTTTTATTACCCGCTAACCTTTAAATGAACTGTCATGAAATCGATGATGTTGGTATCAGGATGTTATGAGAAGATATATATGACATATAAGCTCATGAAAACTAAATATATGACACATAAGCTTATGAAAACTAAGTCTAAGAGAAGTATTCTACAAACAAAAGATCACCAAAATAAAAATGAAGAGGAAAACCGGTCTACTCTCCACATAGTAAAAAATAAAAAGTTATACATGTGTTATGTGTGCCTGTATTCATGCATACATACACATCAATATATATTATACATATAAGTTCATGGACGTGTACGTGTGTGCGTGTGTGCATGTGCGTGTGCGTGTATTTGTGTGTGTAGGTATATGTATGTGTACGTGTACGTGTATGTGTATGTATATATGTAGATGATATATCATTTGCGACAATGATATATCAAAAAAAAAAAATTATTTGTGGAAATCTACAACGTACACGTCATTGGCCATCAAAACTATAGCAAAGTTTTCTCTTTCACAACATAGAAAGCCAGTTGAAGATCAAATGTAACCATATAATCTTATGTGGCAATCATAACATAACCAATACGGGAATAACAATACTGCTTTTGTTGATTTTAGCATTTCAATGTCTAACTTTACCACGTTAACTTCCACCTTTTTCATTACCAAGAAATTTATCCTTCTGCCCCTCCATCCTAAATTTACACGGACCAACAGCATCCCAATCCCAATTACCATCACAAATCTAATGCATTTTCTCCAGAAAAGGTTGACAAACCCTGAAATTAGTAATCAACCTATTCCAACAAGCTGGTGTTTAATCCTCATTTTGACGAATAAACTTATACCTAAAAACTAATTAGCTGATATAGATGATTGACCACTAAAGTCTCCATTTACTTATGCATCGCTAATCATTAAATATCAATAAAGCTCCCTACAAAATGAGTAATAAACATTTGGTTGAGTTTCTTAACTGATAGATTCATATCCAGAGTATAACATAATAACAGCAATTTACAGTCAACCAATCATAACCAAGTCCATGTATTTTATTTATTTATTTATTATTAATAGTGAATTATGTGTCCGTGAATGCATTTTCCATGCACATACATGTCTATTCTTAGCTAATCTAAGGTAAAATTCACTTCCCATGTGAAAAAGAAACAATTTTTTACCATGAACAATGAAATTTCTGGGTTTTACAATTTGTCCAGACTATGAAGACATAATCAGGATGCCATGTGAGGCAACAAGAAACTCATCAAGTAAACATTCTATTGTCATATGACACATGTGCAGAAATATAGTGATGAGATGGAGAAAAAAGACTATGTCAATATTAATCCATGAGGGCGTGAAAACAATCCTATCCATGTCCGCACCCCAAAAAAAAATTATCATCCAAACAACATGGTCAATCAATTTCATAATCTTGTTTTCATAATCTTATAGTATTACAAACAAACAAACAAACAAGCAAACTAGTATGAAATCCCTAAAAGAGATGAATTTGAATCCAGATGTTGATAACCACAGGACATATTTCATAATGCAGATGCGAATTACTGAACAATATGCAAAGATAAAATCTTTATACCAAAATGTGACGAACAACACATAATAATCAACAAAAGCTAAAAAAAATTTAACAAATTCAACCTCCTAATTAGCTTTGGGAAGTGGTAGCAGTAATCTCACCTCTCAATCTCCTCAACCCATCCACCCACCAATCTTCGGTCTCCCGATTCGCCCAATCCGGCGCCGATCCACGAAATCTCACGCCCCTCGTCGCCTCCATAACCCTAGACGCGTCCTCCGCCGTCAACAACACATTCATCCAATCGTCACCATCTCTAAAAGCCCTAAAGAGTCAAGATCGACACTTCTCCCTCTCCCCCTCATCCTCCATTTCCTCCTCCTCATCATCGATGGAAATTAGGGTTACGGTTTTGGCAGTGAGTTGGGATCCCCCCGTCGTTGCGGAGGATTGGGAATGTGCGATCAGATTCCTTCTCCTACTGCTCATCGCCGGAGATGAAGATCTCAGTGAAGGGGAAACCTCTCAGGTTAGGGATTTTCGAGGAGAGTTCAAGGCGATGGTTATGGGGCGGCGAACGGCCGGAGACAAAGGAAAGAGGGAGGATAGGTCGTCGGAGAAGAGGCACCAGAGTCGGAGGTGATGCGTTGGCTGGAAATGGCGATCGACTTGGTCTAGGGTTGAGAGAGAGAGAGAGAGAGAGAGAGAGAGAGAGAGAGAGAGAGAGAGAGAGAGAGAGAGAGAGAGAGAGAGAGAGAGAATCGGGATTTTGAGGAGATAGAGATCGATGAGATGAAGGGGGTTGGATTTGATGAATCACGAGGGTCAGCATGGGATTTCAAATCCATAATATTCGGCTTCAAAATCCACATCTACAAAATCATTTGATTTAAAATCAAAACGAAATTTAAAATCCAAACAAGATATTTGGATTTGGGCTGCCCTGGATTTCAAATCCAAGCCCAAATCTAAGTTCCCAAACATAGCCTAATATTATTTCCATTTTTCTTTTTGTAGACATGGATCGCATCGATTGCGGATAAGTTGGATTCTACATTGTCGAAGTCGTCAAGTATCAAGACCTAACTAATTGTAAGTTTCTGCTGAGAATGCAACTAAGTGTTTTTTACATAATTGCAATTTGTCTTATTCTTCACAAGTCAACAAAATTGAAGATTGTCATTCAGGTAAAACGTATATTTACCCTTGCATTTTTCTTTTTGACAGACATGCATATGGACTTAAAAAGAGTGCTTTTGGTTCTTGATCATACTAATTATGAAGAAAACTTGATTTTTTATATAACTATTACAAGTTAGTATCCTAATTGAGGGACATATCCCAATTTGCTTGCAAATAGAAGCTTCTTGACTAAGGACAGAATACTTTTAATTAATGTGCATGTTCTTCCAAGTATCACCTACTCGCACTTTCCTTATTTATGAGAGTTTTATCGAGTATTTATGGAAATCAAGCCCAGTTTTTTTTAATCTCCCTTGAGGGAATGAGGGCCTTATCTCATAACACCAAAGTCGAACTTTCCTATCAAATTGTGTAGATCAAAATTCAACAAACTCTTGGATGCCTTCTGTCGGGAGACCTACTCATCTATTGAAGATTCATTGGTTTCGCACTTTCCAAGTAAGCTATATGGTTGCCATCATTGGACAACCACATTATTTTTCATTGGTGGCAGTGTGCTCACTGTTTCCTGTTTGTGCAGTTTCCTGAAAATTTCTGGCATAAGTGCTGACTTTGAAGTTTGCCTGTGAGTCCATTCACATGTAATGACGAAGTTTTCTGTTCTGCATAATGGATTATACTACTGAAAATATAATCAAGTTGAAGAGTGCTCTTTGCCTGCTTAATTGTACTGTTAGTGTCGAAAAACAGTTGATTTTGTGATATGAAAGAAGTTGCAATCGTATTTCTAAACTGATTTGTAGTCGTATTCAGAAATTTGTTTATGTTGCAGAGAAAATAGAGAAAAAATAAAAATACCGAAGTTTTTTTTTGGGCAGAATAGATGCCTCCCTTCCCATCCATTTCTTATCCATTCTGTCAAACGAACTCTTCATGAAGAGGTGTGCAAACAATTTTTGGGTTAATTGTACAGACCTCTTGCAGTATCGTTGTTTTGCACTTTCTACCCATGCATTTTCATTCTTGCATTGCACTTACTACCCCCTGGAATTTTATTGTTGCAGATAGACCCTGTGCGTTAGAATTTTTTGATTCTTAGATAGGCTTACTAATTTCACCCAGAAGCTATGTCTGCCCAAATTTCACCAAGGGCAAAAGAGTCGAGAAAATTTAACCCGATGCATCTATCTACTACAAAAAAAAATATGCGGGTAGTAAGTGTAAAAAACAATCTACGAGGGGTCTATGTGCGATTGGTTCCATGAGGATATCGACAAGTGTTTTCTTTGGCTTCCAGGTTTGGATGTTAGACAAGTCTGTACAACAAAAGAGCAAGACGAAAATAAAATCCTAATTTAAATGAAAAGATTCAGATAGGCAGGTGAATTTCTTTTTCATGGAGGCGGAGAAGACAGAGAAAGGAAGAAAAGGGCAAAGAACAAGAATTGGAAGGAAAGGAGGACAAGATAAGCAGAGCAAAACGGAAGGCAACCAACCTCGCAATGACGTCTACAGTACATAATCCTTGCGTATTATAATGACAGTTTACTAGAGATTTCATGTTTGAGATTGAAACCAAGTCATAATATCTACTAGGGTCATTGCATATAGATTTCGTCATTGCAGATTGACCCATGAGTTAATTTTATTTATTTCACTCTTTTACTCTCCGATAGACTCATTAGTTTCACCTAAGGACAATATCTGTCAAAATTTCACCCCAAGTAAAAGAGTTAAAAAAAAACCCAGGGGTCTATCCGCAACAATGAAATTATATGGAAAGTAAGTTTAAACTAGTGATATTACAGGAGGCCTATGTGCAAATAACCGTATCCGTTAATATTTCACTGATGATAATCTAATCCACGGTGAAAAAGTTAAAAAACCATAGAAGCAACCAGCCTTGCAATGACATCTATAGTAGCAGCAAAAGCGCTTCCTTTCATAAAGCATCACTTACATTTTTACATAAACCCTGCACTTATACGAAGCTTAGAAACTATAAAGTAGGAAACAAGTTACATTTAAACATATTTACCTATATGAAGCTTAGAAACTACAAAGAAGTAGGAAACAAGCTACATTTTAACATATTTACCTAATCAATTGCGAATGTCTCGACATTCTACAATGATGAAGACCCAATTGACTGTTGACCGGAGGAATCTAGCAGAGACAAGTATTCTGCTATGGCTTCTCCTTCTTTGGTAACTTCAATGTCATAGTCTGCTATTGCATCTCCTTTGAGGTTACGAATAAGTTCATCCTCCATCTCAAAATCGATGGGATTAGTGTCCTCAACAGCAGCAGCTACAGCCGCAACTTCAGCAGCAACCTCTGCTGAGCCCTGCGCAGTATCTCCTAGCGCAGCAACCTCTGCTGAGCCTCGTATGGCATTTCCTTGTGCAGCAACCTCCGATAACCCTTGTACAGCAGCTCTTTGAGCTCTTGCTTGTCTCCTTGACTCAATTTTACTCTGGAAGTAAAAAGGGGTAATAATAATGAGAATATAATATGATCAGTTGATAGATTGGTTTCAGTTATTTTGGTCACCTGAAGTTTACAGTTCTTGTCAGGATCTGTTAAGTGATCCAAGGCCAGTTGGGTGTCATTTTCATTTACTCGAAGTGCTTCAGCAGCAAGCTCCCTATCAAACCTGCAGAGGGAAAATAGAACACATCAGGGTCACGGCAGATTGGTAGTTTCTCCAGATGTACGAAACTCTATTAGGAAATATGATCTTATGATATCACTAATTTCCAGATTTCCAGGTCAATGGTATGACCTCGAAGATTCCAAGGTGTGTGGGATCGAAAAGTAGATGAAAAGTAGACCAAATATTGGAAAGTGGCTCTAGTTTCAGTTCCTATTTTGTAAGTGGGAAGTGTGATTGGGAAGTATATGAAAATTGGAGGGTGTCACATCAACGCGTTAATGCTCCTCAGTTTTCACTTTCTCAAAAAAGGAAAATTAAAATTTTCCGTTTTATATTCTTACTTACCCGTTTGCTTTTGAACGTTCACTTTCCACTTTTTCACTTTTCTTAGCAGCCGAACATGACATACAGAAAGTGGATGATACATCACCTGCCATCTCAAGTTTTCACCTTTCCACTTTCCACTTTCCATCATCATCCAAACAAGACTCGCAAATAGAAAGTCAGGATTATCCTAATTTTTAACTTTTTTTATCTAATTGTCAAACACCTAAATGGAACAATATATTCAAATGCATTTGGATGCTGTTTCCAACACTGTAAATTACTCTTTCCATAAAACTAAAGTTTCCGTCTCTTATAAACCTAAATAGTCAACAATATGTTTGGTAAGCTCTTCCTTCTTCTTCCCCAAAGGTGGGATTGCAAAATGCACATATCATGGGGGGGAAATTAAAGGCATTAGAATGATTTTTCTATGTAGTTCTTGAAGAAAAGGTGAAAATCTTCATTGCAGTGTATGGCTTAGCAAGAAAAACCTAATAGGTCTGTGCTAGGCACCCAGGAATTTACTTTTTTTTACCTTAAATGACTATATTGAGATAGGGAAATACCAGAAGGAAAAGGGTCCGTAGGATGATAATAGATTGCAACAATGCTGAGACATGATAACACCAAATGGAAAGATATCATAAGATGATAAGATAAGAAACAATATAAAAAAGAGGGAAAAGAAAAGTTAAGTTGACGATATCAACAACTCAACTGAGCACAAGAGAACTATAAATGTGAAGTGCAATAATTCATAAAAACAGATATGCATAATCTCTTTATTAGAATGCAGAGATCAATGCTAATTATGCTTTGCTTTTTTTTTCTTGTTGCCTAAGTGAAAATGATGTAGAGTAACCCTGGCTTTTTGTTGAAAATGATTTAGTGAAAGCATTTTCATTGAAAGTATACCTCATCAATTTTATAAATAAAATATACAGTTAAATTCACAGACTTAAGTAAGGATGCTTACCCAATGGAGGCCAACTCATTCAACCTTTTGATATCTACAGCCTTCTTCATTGGAGTGGTGCCATATAATTTTTGCTCCCTGAAATTTCCTTCTACCAATGATTATGGAAAAAATAAAGAAGAAATTAAGTGCTGTATACAACAACTATCACCTCTTCTCCTCGCGGCGTTGTTTATCCTCCTCATATCTGCGCATTTTTTTTGCCCGTTCTTCAACAAGGAAACCTACAGCACTCTCCATATCTTGCCCAGTCATTTTTAGTGCTCTCTTTGCTGCCTTTTCTTTGTAGCCCATGCCCATCAGCTGTGATAAGGCTTCATCTGACACTTGAAGCTGAAGCACAAAAGAAAAGTTGTATTAAAATAAAAATAAAGGCACCATGAAGCTGGCTTGAAGATCTTAAATTTATTAGGAAATAATCTTGTGTAAGAAAGTAGTTTTTTTGTATATGTACCCCTTAATCATGAGTATACACAAAACTGCCCCCCAAATCATCTACTTTGGAAAAAGAACACCAAATCATCAACTTTGATAGGCTAATTTGTAAATGCAATGTATAAACATCATAAAATAGTCAACCTTTTGCTCACCATATCCGGTAAGGTTGATGATTTGTTGATATGAGTGTTTTCCCCCCTCCAAAGTTGATATGGGGTTAGGTGGCAAATACTGAGATTTAGTTTTGTGAATACTCATGATGTAAGGGGTATATATACAAAAAAAACCCATAAAGTAATATCATTTCAATGACATCCACAAGAATAGCAAGCCTCTGTTGGACTGCATTTTCAAATTCAATATTAATCACAATAAACAGAACAACAATGCTCAATGCTTCACAGTATTATTGAATACAATTTGACAATAACACGGAGAAGATTAGATAACCTGATTATATTTAGACAGCGCTGAATTCAATGCTTTGCGAGATTCTTCATGATTGCCGCTATGATAAGCCACAACTCCTTCGAGGAGCTCCAACCTCAAGTATCTGTTTTTACAACATACATGAGTTAAGGCAAGAACTTACACTAATGGTCCCTTGAAATAGTAATATAAAGAAAGTATACTTCAAATAAGTTATGTACTCACATGGCAAGATCTTGATGGCGACCATCTTGTAGGGCCCTGAACCGAGTGAAGTCCTTACCATGAGAGCGTTCAAAACCTAATCTAGCTTTTGCCAGACGAGCTCCTGCCACTGATAGGCAAGATATGTCCTTAAGCAGAAAGTAACACCACACTATATCTAGTTGAAGTATTGGGATGTTATCAATCATCTGGAGTCCGAAAAGCAGAACCAACCAAAATAAGCTTTAGCACAAACATATAATATACTCTTTAAAAAAACATATTAACCTACCTCGACTAGCTTTGGCGCACAAAGAGAGAAAGCTTCCTGCACGTTGGAAGGAGATGATTTAAACTAAAATACCACATTATCATAGTTCACATTTCAAAATACTCATAAACTCAATAGATTAAAAGCAGAGTCCAATTAATACTTTCGTGACTAACCTCTGCCATAAGAAGCACCTCCAAAGCATCTTTGATTTTCTCTTTCTCAATAAGGTTTTTACCCTTTGTATGAAGCATTACTCCCATCATAGCTCCCCTATAAATAATCAAACGCGCTCTTGTTATGATAAACTTCCTCAAGCATCTGAAGCAATACCTTACGCAAGTGTTGAACTTAGTACCTATGATCAGTTTCAGATCCAATCTGTAGTTTCTGACCGCTTTGATCTTCAAGCTCCATATCGAAGTTCTCCGAATTAGAACCCGTATGCCTCTCTGTTAATGCGACAGCAGCAGCCCTGTCAAGATCAGTAAAGTAAGCAGATGGTTGTAGTTGAATCATATGTAATATATTGTGAAATATCAGGCATAGCATAGAACATGAGTTTCATTATGATTATCATTATATGAAAACCTGCGTTTATTCCGATTTAGAAATAATCTTTACACAAGCATCATTCTTCCTGAGCAACTAGACGTATAAAAAAAATTAATAAACTTAAAGAAAGCTCCAACAATAACTTTTCTGCCACAAAATTAACAAATTCATCCCCTGCCCAGAAACTCGACAATTATTCATATCACTAATAATCATCCATTGTCAATGATCATCTAACAGGATAGTGAATAAAGCAATCTAGCTCGCATCAATCATAATCATCCAATAACACAAAGGACCCTATTTCTAATCGAACCCAGAAGCCCAAATGAAGTAAAATTCTATCAAGAATCAAGAATCAAGAATCCACTGTCAAAAATTCAAGAATATCCCCCAAAACCCAGGAACCCAATGATTGAAAAAGGAAAAAAAACTCACTTTAATCGACCGAGCTTCGCCGATCGCTCCGCCTCCGACGCCAGCGCTTCGTCAAGGGCTTTGCCCTCATCAGGGGACCAAGAATCAAGAATCAAGAATCCACTGTCAAAAATTCAAGAATATCCCCCAAAACCCAGGAACCCAATGATTGAAAAAGGAAAAAAAACTCACTTTAATCGACCGAGCTTCGCCGATCGCTCCGCCTCCGACGCCAGCGCTTCGTCAAGGGCTTTGCCCTTG